TAGGGCTTAGCGTGTCGACTCCCGCTGTCTGTCTGTGGGGTTAATCCGTTTGGTGTCAGGACTTTGAACTGACTTGTGCAGTCACTATGAAATGGCGTCCTTGTATCTCAAGCGAAGGGGTCTATCTGGAGAGCTAAGTGCAGCACAAATACTTGCAGACTTGCGGCTCTGCTGTGGTGACGAGATACCGGACATGACCCCGCTGCCCACCCTCTTCACGCACCACATCATACATCAAGGTCTGAACTACTCGCCAGACTATCCGCTGTTGCGCCACGCCGATACTCGACGACCCGCTGTACTGTTGAAACGGTGGATTGATTGGAGCGGTAAGGTGCATACGGACGGCTGCCAACAGAAGCGGGGCGGTGCCCGTCCAGCGAACACCCTCCCCACGCTTCTGCCGACCGCTTATTTGGCACTGAACGGGTTCCCTCAGTATGGCGAACTGTCGGTGTGCCGTATCTTGCTCGTGGGCGGCTAATGGTCATGATGGCTTGATGTGTTCAGGCTACTGCATGTTCATCTGCACTTTGATGAGTGCAGTCCAGGGCATGTGATGATGAGATCATCCCCGTGGGGTGTTCGCACTTTATGGCCATATCGAATACAGATTTCGTCCTAGATGCAGTGGGAGTACGTATACCAAACGAAACAGAACTATCCTTCATCAACTCTAGAAGAGACGACGGATCGCATGTCTTCGTCATCGTCTATTATGCATGCCACACACCAGAATGAAGCGGATAGTGCCGAGCACATTGACTCATGGCTATAGCTTCCAAGGTTGTCTTGCACCTGGATGCGACTGTCCTTGAGTTGCACAACCACTAACACTCTAGTTGAGATGTGGTCGCAATCAGATGCTGTCTACCTCGGTTCAAACAGTAGTATCTCGTTGGTCTCATATTTTGACGATGCATAGCGGAGTGGTGACGGCGTGGTCTTGGCGCCAGCTTCGCGTTTCGAATGCGGGCCGATACTTGCCTCATCCAGCGACTTGCGACACCACCTCCCGCTTGCACAAAGAGCGCATTCCACGATATGGATGCTCATGAAGATGCGATTCAAATGAGAAGTCTCGATGGGAGAGACTGTGAACCGCCATGTTTATTACTTCCACCTCTATGCCAACATCAGAGTTCGGCCGCATGCGAAGACTACTGCCTCAGAGTATCGTGTCTAAGCGTCTGACCGCGTCTGAGAGTCAGAAAACTGGGGATCAGCCTCGCATGGCTGCACGGGTACGGCGCCCCTTCATGCGCTTTACTTTTTCCATCCGAACCTCATGCTCTCTGCTAACGGCATCCTTGAAGCCTGTACTCCCCGTTCCGCCCTGTTCCCGCGCGACGAACGCGGTTCACTGCACCCGTACATCATTGCCTCGTGTTTGAACAGGATCGGCACAACCTCCATGCCCGCAATTCCCAACATCTCGCGTTAACATTTCGATCGACCGAGCTGTCACCGGCAGCTTCGTCGACATGCTGACGCTCCACTCGCTCTTGCACCTCCCTCCCGTACTCCTCGCTGGCCTCGTAGCACGCGCATACGCAGCCCCCGATGGCGTTATCGGCGACGACAAAGGCGCGGGCAGGCCTACCTACGCGACAGCTCTCACGGGTGGCGAGGGCTGCGACTTCTCCGAGATTGAAGACATCCGCGATGGCTTCTCCGAGATGACGATTCTCTTCGCCGCCGCAACGCCCTTCGACCTGACCTCGCAGCCCGCACGAGAGTTCTTCGGCCCCTCGATCAACGCCAACTACACCGACATGATAGCCACGAACCTGCAACGCGCCGCCAACTTCGGCGTCCTGGAAGGAGGAACCGGCGCCGTAAATTCCGACATCCACATCCGCTGCGACGACCCCATGGACCTCTGCGACAAAGGCAACAAGCGCGAAGGCGACCACGCCGCCTACAACATCGGCAACGAACCGCACATCGTCTTTTGCTCCGACTACTTCCGCATGGACTCGCTCAATAATCGTATTAATAAGAAAGCCGACAACCAAATGGAGAAAGACCGGCTGATGGAATACTACAACCGCGCCTCCCTCTGGGCACGCATGGTGATGCACTTTGCCTCCATCGGCACAGCCGTCGTCCAACGCCCCATGCCTGCGCCCCCGAACTCCACATCCGAGTGGCTCATCTCCGTCTCTGAAGGCGCAATGAACACCTCTGTCCTCGCCGGCGTCCTCAACGAACAACCCGAAACACCCACCGATTTCCAAACTCTCAAATACGCTTACGGCGCCACGCGCTCCAAGCTCCTCGCCGTCCTCTCCACGCAAATGTCGTACGACGCTGCCAACAATGCGGAGAACTATGCGTTGTATGCGCTGGCGCAGTATATCATTCAGAACAAGGGTTTCTATCCTGCGGTACCGATTATGGATTTTCCGAATGAGGCGAGTGTGCTTACGAATGAGAATCTGCAGGATGGCGAGAGGGTCAAGTATGCGTATTTCGATGCTGTGGATGTGGTGGCAAGGCCGACGGATATGGAACTCAAGGGTGCGCCGTTGCCTTCGAAGGGTGCGGTGGTGAATGCTAGAGGAGTGGGGATTATGGTTGTTGCGTTGGGCATTGGAGCTACGCTTCTACTGGCGCCGTTCGGATGAAAGATCAGGAGGTTTGCGAAACGGAATACCTGGTTTTTAACGAGCATATCGACATCAGTTACGGGAACATTTCCCCGAGGCCTGTCGATTGTCCCAGTTACAACTACCGAGGAAGAAGAAGGACATCGCCACGCCATAACGCCTCCAAGCCCCATAAGATATAGGTCGCATCACATCCGATTCTACGGCGGCATCCAACACCCTGCCACCCAGCGCGGACAACACATGCTTGGTGCATCACAACATGCAAGCCTGCCCGCGCAGAGCACATGCCATCGTCGGGCCCTCTTCTAAGAACCTCGGCTGGTGCTGTATCGTTGGCGACGCTGAAATTCATTCCGCGTCAGCAATGATACAGCACCAGCTCAGGCTTTTAAAAGAGGGCTCGTCACGAGAGACAAGGGTTTATCCGACGACTTCGACCGTGGCCGAGGCAGCAGCATGTAATCGGTCTTGCTACCTACCTACCTATCTACCTACTTACTTACCTACCTTGGAACCCCCAACGCATATATCAAGAACAGCAAGCCCGGCGCGGGGCCTATTCACCCCCCTCAATCGTTTCGAACCTTAGTATCGAACACCCAGCACCCGCACACCTCTTCTCAAATATGGCAAGCAGTGCGTGTAGGTGTTCGATGGTCTTATTACGAAAAGGTTCGTAAGAAGACGATAGAACGAGTCCACGCGCTACTTGCCGCATTTGATAAGAATATCTGTCTGGAGAAGGGAACGCAATAGCAAGACACAGTCGCCCGCTTAACAAACTCGACTGGCTGTGTCCGGAACCTCTCTATCCATTTCCCCCGTCGCAATACATACTCTCAGGACAAGAACAGCAAGCGGGCCTCTTCACCTTCCCTTCAAACATTCAGTATCAAGACATCTGAAGAGTCGTCACTATCGTCTTCTATTATGCGTTAATAACGCTTGTCACGGTTACATGCGCTGTCTACCGCATGGTAGAAGATGGTGATGATGATTCTTCAGATGTTTTGATATTGTGGTTTTGAGCGGGAGGGTGGGTATGGATATGTGTATACAAGAAGAAGAACCCTTGACACATATACCAAGCACAACCAAGCCCGGCGAGGAGTCCCGTTTTTCCCGGGTGGGTGGGGGAGGCGGAGGGGAGGCGGCGGGGTGGAGGAGGGGCGGAGGTGGAAGTTTGTGTTCTCGAGGTCTTCATCAGGCATGACACGCGCTGTCTACCGCATGGTATCCAGTTCGCCTTCCCTCCGTCCCTCTCCCCCTCCAAATTTACGAAGCTCAGTGTCAAGCACCTAGCACCTATCATCTCCCCCGCACAGTCTTCTCATAGTGTGGGAGACAACGTGTATAACACCTCGCATCGTCTCGGCACTAGAAGTTTTTCTGCTGGTAACCAGGAGTTGGAGCGATTATACGCGGTGTCTCCCGCATTATGAGAAGATTCTGAGGGGGTTGTGGGGGGCGAGATGGTTGGGTGGAGTGGGGAGGGGAAGTGAGGGGAGAGATGGGGAGGCAAGGGATGGGATGGGGTGTGGATGGGGTGCGGATAGGGAGGGGGTGTGGATATGGATAAAAGGGGAATGATAGATGGGCTTTTATGAGAGGGAAAGAGAGAGGGAAGTTGCTATTTGTTGTTAAGAGATCAACATCTTCCCTTCTCTCTACCTTTTAATATAACAACTGCGTGTATTCTCCAACCCAACAACGGCTTATAACCCAACGCCCATCCATCTTTCTCCCCTCTATCTGATCGAACCATTTCATCTCTGCAAATTACAGACACCTTCCTCGCCTTCTCGATTTCTCCATCCATCCCCATCTCCAGTCGCCGTCTTCATGCCCTCACTCCACACCCAACCCCTTGTCATCGCGGCGGCGATTGTAAAGATCTCATCGTGCTAGTTCCATGGACGAAACCATATGTGAGAGCCTTCGGAGAAGTAGGGTTACCAGCATCCAGCGTCTGCATGATTCTTGTCTTGATTACCACAGGCAGCGTAAGTGGTTCATCAGCTTTACATCGTCGCCTGTGCTATCGCAGCACCACAGGATGGCGACGAATTCAAGTCCGAATTTTACAGCATCTTCACCCAACTGACCTTCACGCTAAAGAACAGGCAGTATACATCGTACGCGACACTTCATGACGGACAGCATATATATATATATTCCTTCCATTTTGACAGTATTGTTTCAAAATATCGCGGAGCTAACTAGACTCGCTGTGTAGATACGCCATGGAGTCCTGTGCACTCCGTCCTACCAACCAACCACCTGTCCAGCTCTAGAATGAACACTTTATCATACATATTGAACAACAACTCCACCTTCACAGTCTTTCCGCCCAGGAACCACGTCCACAACCCAACAGTCACCATTTCACTTCTTCTTCCCCTTAGGCGCAGCCTTCGCCTTACCCTTCCCCTTAGGCTTAACCTCCTCCTCCTCATCCTCCATCTCCTCATCATCGTCATCTTTCTTCTTCTTGCCCCCCTTCGCCTTAGCCGCCGCCCCCTTCTTCGGCGCCGCCTTCTTCTTCGGCTGCTTAACATATTTATCCTTTGACAAATCCACATCCTCCTCTTCATCCTTGACCTCCTCCACAACCTCGCCATCATCAGATTCGTCAATCGCTTCTTCAAGATCCGGTTTCTCTTTGGCTTGCTTCTTGGGTTGGGCGATGGACGAGGCTTTCATGAAGGGGAGGGGGTGGGATTGTTGGTTGTAGCTGTGGAAAAGGGGCGTTAGTGGTGTACGGGGGCGATGATGAGATAAGGGGGGGACTTACAGGCGTGTAAATGTGGATTTGGTTTGAGAATCAATCTTAACCTTCTCTTGGTCCATAGGTCCAACACCCAGTTCCATGATCGCGTCGAAGTCGTCTTTGGTGAGGTAGTAGCTGTCCATCAGCTCGATGACCTGTGGGACAGCGTCTTTGCCTTCTTTCTGCAGCTTCTGAACTAGGTCCGTCCAGAGAAGTGGGACGTACTGCTGTCGAACCTCATGTCGGTCACCGGACGACCGCAACCTCATGTGAGCTTGAATCTCCTTGATCATTCGGCTCAGCTTGTTTGTAGAACTGTTCTTTCCTAGCCATGACGTGAAGCGCGTCTGGTTACCAGCAGTGCTACCAGCAACATAGCTTGCAGGTCGGACGAAACTGAAGACCGCGTGTGTGGGCATCAGACTCCACTGCTGTTGAGAGCCGTGAATCATGCGATCCACGAGATCACCATCACTGATACTGTCGGCTGCTAGTGACGCCAACTCCAGATTCTTCAGGTTCTTCTCTTTGCCAGAGTAGTTCAAGGACTGCATCGGGTTCGTGCCGAGGTAGTTCTCCTGCAACATCAACGGACTGAACTCGTGGTCGTTGAAGTAGAGCTCAATCTTCTCGTTGAGCGTGGCTTTGCTGCTCGAGGCAAACATGCCGCCACCGAGAATCTTCTGCGTGATGTCCCATGGCTTCAAGATGACATGCTTCTCCCAGCTCTTAGACATCGTCTTGCCCTTGTCGAAATCCATGGCTGTTTGGTCGAGTTTGGCTGTGGAAATCATGTTGACGACCTGGCGAATATCGGCGTGACTGCCCTCAATGAGTGCATTGACAACTGGCGCAGGCATCTTCAAGCCTTCTCGGTATGCGATGGTCATGATGCGTGATCGTACTTGGTCGACAGTGGGCCGTCGGAAAGGCAAATCGAATGTAACGTAGTCGAAGGGCTTCATCTTTGGCAGCTTCCTGTCGTTGCAGATGAGAATCATGGGAACCTCCGTCTTCTTGCACACGGCTGCGAGCGCACCGACACCACCACGGTCACCCGCAGACATGCCGTCGACTTCATCCATGATCAAAACGAGCTTCTTCTTGGCCGCCTCAACCTTCTTTCCGTCTCCAGCAAAGTAGCCGTGGAGTGAGTTGGTGCTGAGGACACCACGTAGACCGTCCTCGATGAGCTTCTTACTTCGGGTATCACTGGCGTTTCTCTCCACAATATCGTATCCCTCCAGCTTGGCGACGAGATGAGCTGCAGTAGTCTTACCAATACCGGGTGGACCATGCAGCATGATGGCACGGAAGTTTCCGCTACCGTCTTTGCCAGCGAGCTTGAAGCCAGTCTTGAGGTTCTTTGGGAACATCTGCAACCAGCGCTGGATCCTCTCAACCGTCGCCTTGTTGCCGCAAATCTGGTTGAGTGATGTGGGCGCATACTTGGTAGTCCACAAACGGGAGTCTACGGCCGGGCCTGCACTCTGAGCAGCTGCTGTGACGGCAGAGGCTGTCTTGCTACCGGAAGCTTTCGCTGCTGCCGACAGCTCTTTCTGACGCTTCTTCTCCTCTTGCTCAAGCTCTGCAGCTTGCTTCTTGATCTTTTCCTCCTCTTTGCGTTGCTTCTCAGCGTGCTCGGCCTGTGCCTTGCTGTCGCCCTTGTTGCCAGCCGCAGTCAGCTTCTCGATAAGCACCGTCAGGCCATCTTCGTCGATCGTCTTGATTTCCATCTCCTGAATCTTCCGCAGTTTGCTGGGGCCGGCATCTGTGCCTAGCACAACATAGTTGGTTTTCTTGCTTGGAGCGCCAGTCACCTTTCCACCGTGCCGTTTCACCAGCTCTTGAGCTTCAGTTCGACCCCACTTCTGCAGCACTCCGGTGAAGACGAATGTTAGGCCTGCAAGACATGTCTCTGAGCCTGAGGGCATCTCGCTGGATCCGCCTCCAAGTGGTGCAGCTTCCCCACGACCTGCATTCGCCTGCCAATTGAACTTGGCATTGTCGTCTTTGGGTGGTGGAGTGGGCGCGCGCACGGTAGGAATGCTGTCGTAGATGGCCTGGATGTCTGCACTATCTTCGACCTCCTCCTTCTTGGCCTTCTTTTTCGCTGGCGATTTGGGTGTCGTCGTTGTGGCCTTCTTCGGTCGTCCTTTCTTGGGTTTCTCCTCCTCTTCCTCTTCGTCGTCAGATATGGGTGACTTTCGCTTCTTGCCTGCGGTCGATGTCTTCTTTGGCTTGCTCTTCAGTGCTTGCTCATCCTCGTCGGGCTCTACAAGTTCGTCTTCCGCATCGATGTCCTTCATGTCGATGTCTTCATCTTCTGGGTCGAAGTCGTCCTCATCCTTGATCGTCTTCTGCTGCTTGGCTGGGGCCTTTGGTGTTCCGCGATGTGGCAGCTTCACGGGTACGTCGTCATCGCTGTCCGAGGCTTCCTTGTAGTCGTCCTTGCCTTTGCCCTTGATGTTGGCCTCGAAGATATCGTCTGCGTCCTCCAGGTCGTCGTCCGGGAACTCGTCCTCGTCATCCCGCTCGGCATAGGATGTAACGGGTTTCTTCGCTCGGCCAGATGCCTTAGCATTGGTAGCCGGAGTAGCCGTCTTCGAGGCCTTTCCGTTCGCCTTCACAGGTGCCTTCTTCGGTGTCGCAGCAGGTGTCTCCGCCGCCTTCTTCTTGACAGGTTCAGTTCGCTTGGGCTTATTCGAGCTGGCGAAAAAGTCGGATGTGGTGGTCTCTTCAAGTACGGGTTCTGGCGTCGGTTCGCGCTTGACCTTCTTCGCAGCAGGCTTCTTTGGTGTCGCTTTCTTCAGTCTGTACAATGTCAGGTTTGACGTCACCAAGCAAGAATTGTACACCTACTTTGTCTCTTCCTCATCATCGTCGTCAGAGTCCTCTACAACACGACTTGTGCGACCCTTCTTTTTGGGTGCGGCCTTCTTGGGCGCAGGCTCGTCTTTCTTCTGAGATCCCTGGCTTGCCTTCGGGGGCCCGCCGCCAAAGAAGCTGCGAATGTCGGCAGGCATCTTGACGATGAAAAACGCGTACAATTAGCGAGTGGCAGTGTGACGCGTTCGCTGACAAGTGTTGAGCCAAACAATGGTTGGAAACGGGGTTTGGGTGGGTTGATGGACAACAGGCGCCATTGACGTGCACGACGCGACTTCGCGCGGTCATTAGGCAATTAGGCAGGCGCATTGACGCCACACCCCCGCGTGCGCCACAGCAGCCACAGACATGTCTTGGCATCAGAACTTCGACACCACAGTTACGGAACGGCCTGGTAAAGGTCCAACATCACAACGCCATGCCGCCACCAAGGATATCACAAAGCCTGCTGGCTCAATTCGGGAGACTGAACATGTCCGCATCAAGACCCACACGTACGACATCCAATTCCCACCTTCCACAGCTATGCTAACGCACCCCCAGTCCTCCAACAGACATGCCTATCTAAACCCCAACCCACCCTCAACACCCCCCGCCTCTTCTCCACAACCCGTCCCACTCTCAACTACCTCGCCCCCAAAGCCGGTGAATCACGCAAATCACGAAAAGGGCGCTGCCGCGTCCCCACCGGCGGCAGCATGCGCGGCACAACCGTCGTCTGGGGCGACTACGGCCTGCGCATGCGCGACCACGACCGACGCATCTCCGCCCAACAACTCCGCATCGCCGAAGAAACCATCCGCAAGCGCTTGCGCGGCATGAAATTCCGGCTCTACATGCGCATCGCCGCCAACATCGGCGTGTACACCTCGGGCAACGACGTGCGCATGGGCAAAGGAAAAGGTAGTTTCGACCGCTGGACTGCGAGGGTGGCGGTGAGCAAGATCATCTTTGAGATTCAGGGGGATTTGCATGAGCAGGTTGTCAAGGATGCGTTTAGGCTGGCGGGGAATAAGTTGCCGGGGCTGTATGAGTTTGTGAGGAAGGGGGATGCGCCCGTTATGGGGATTACGAAGGTGGGGTTGAATGGGGTTACGGAGGAGGATTTGAAGAGGCCGAGGAGGAAGGAGCCGCTGGAGCAGACGGCTAGGAGGATACCTGATGCGAGTTCGTCTGCGCCGGCGAATGGGCCGAGGGTGGAGATGTAGATGGGGTTTGGGATGGAGGCTGTGGACCGGAAGAATTGAGGTCGTCTGCCAATTCAGCTGCGTGGACGATGTTGTCAAGTGTAAATGCAATATGTAGCATGTATCATAAGAGAACATGTATTGAACTGTACAATTTTGAAATCGACAATGGACAGTATGATCAACATTAACCCTGAAGAAAGCACAACAAATAATGAATGGGGTATGTAGGTATCAACACGCCAGCCCAGCTCTCGCCTCATCAATCAAAACATTCCCCTCACGCCTTATACAAAGTATCCAAAAACCCCTTCGCCAAATCCACAACAACACTCTTATTCGGCAAGCTGCCCGCAACACCATACAACGCAGCCGTATCCCCCTTAACCGCGCCCTTCGCGCCCTTACCCTCCGCAATCCTCTTCCGCTCAGCATCCCTAACCTCCTCCGTAACCTCAACCAGATCCTCAATAAGCTTATCCACCACCGCAACAATCGGCAGCGTGACAGCAATGTGAATAGCAGGCGGGTTCTGGAGCGCATTTAAATGCCAGCCTTTACCGGACATGCCATCAGCGATGTCGTAGATATCGAGGGTGTTGGACAGGAAAGATACGACAGAAACCATGGGCCGACCGATGATCTTGAGATCAGACGCGAGTTCAGGTTTCTCGCGGATGGCGGTTTCGATCTTCTTCATGCCGCCGACGATTTTGTGGCAGGCGTCGAGGTAGCCGTTTGCGCCTTGCTTGACGAGACTGGCCCAGCAGCCTGCGATTAGGGCACCGGGGCGTGAGCCAGCGATGGAGGGGGATGCGTAGACGCCGCCGGACCAGTCGGGCGAGATGAAGTATTGGTACTTGCGGTATACGTCGGAGCGGTAGAGGACTGTGGAGTTTCCCTTGGGCGCGAAGCCGTACTTGTGGGTGTCGCAGGAGATGCTGGTTACACCGGGCAGACGGAAGTCGAAGGGCTCGAATTCGAAACCTGCTTTGGGGAGCATGGGGATGATGAAGGAACCTAGACAGCAGTCGACGTGGAGGGGAATCTTCTTCTTGACTGCGAGTTTACTGAGGCCGGAGATGTCGTCGATGATGCCGTGGGGAAAGTTGGGCGCAGAGCCGACGAGGAGGACGGTGTTCGGGTTGATGAGACGGGAGACGGAGGGTAGGTGGACCTTGTAGCTCGGTGCTTTGCATGCCACGAGGTGCATCTTTATCTTGAAGTACTCGCAAGCCTTGCGGAAGGCCGTGTGTGCGGTTTCAGGCAGGATCATCTCAGGCTGAGTGACGCCACGCTCAGCGTACGCCTTGTTGCGTGCGGAGAGACAGGCCATGAGGATAGACTCTGTGCCGCCAGACGTTGTAACACCAGCCGCATCGTCTGGTGCGTTGAAGAGGGAGAGCACCATAGCCACAATCTCGGCTTCCATCTTCCTCACACCAGGGAACACATCCGGGTGGATGGGGTTCGCAACCGTGAACTTGCCAAACGCCTCCGTCTGCAGTCTGATCAACTCCTCCCCACCGTGGTATACCGCACCGCTGACTCTTCCATCTTCCCACCGAGTATGCTCCATATCAGCCAGTTCGCCCAGCTTCTTGCGCACCTCCTCTTCGCTCCATCCTTCGGCGGGCAAACTGGTGATGCGCTCGACGCCGGGACCGCTCGGAACAAGTTTGCGTTCGAGTTTTAGGAGCGAATCAGACACCTGTGCCTGTACCTTGTCGCGCACGCCGGGAAGTCGCAGGAAGACGCCGTAGAGGTAGCGGCGAATGCTGATGTAGGCATCGCTGATGGAGCCGAAGATGCCGCGTCCTTTGAGTTGGTAGAAGGTGATGCGTGTCCAGCGGAGGAGGAAAAGGACAAAGATGATATTGCGCAGGCTAGATATCTCATGTCAGTATTCCGCTCTATCACTTATCGTTATCGGAAGGGAGGGGCGCATACACGTCGATGTTCAAGGCGACGAGCTGGCCATTAGCGGAGCTCTTCCGCGCATTGAAAGTGCCGCGGAGACTGACGGGCAAGCGCGATGAGCCGGGCATCGTGGGAAGGGTGCGCGGGTGGGCGACTGTATGTAGGGTATCAATCAAGTCTACGCCAAAGACATGATAGTAGGAATGTGGAGTTTGGGTCGCGGGTTGGCGCTCTGGTTAAGCATTTGCAAGAGGGCTTGCCATGTACGTCAATCACATGTCGCAGCCACTGGCGCAACGGCTTCGGACTGCCGAGGAACCCGCGGCCGAGATCCTAGCGGGGCATTTCCACTTTGGGAAGCTACTCCTACATAACAGCCACTCGCAAGTAACATCAAGCCATAGTAGTCGGATTATATTATCTGAGATAGAGTGACAGAGGCCATCAATCAAAAGTCTAAGTTTCGACAGGCAAAAGCCATGAAGCTGCGGAGGATTTCCACCCCGCAGCCTCCCCCGCCCGCCCCGCTACGCCTACACAACAGCCATTTGGAAGGCTTGGACACTGAAGAGAAGCGAGATCATGGTAATGGTAGTCTGATCGTATAACTTGGAGTCAAGATGACTACACCACCAGCCTAATCCATCATACCATGCCACCTCCAATGCGCACCCATAGCAAAACTCGGCATAACAGCACCACACTCCTCACAGCGAAAAGAGTCGGCATCTGTCATATCTTCTTCATCCTCCTCCCAAACATCCTCTACATCCACAGGAGAACCAATCTTCTGTGACGAAGTGGGCAAATCCTCAGAACCTTGCCTGTGAATAATCTCACCTGTCGGCCAAGCCTCGTCCATCATGTATTCTGCTCGGTGCCGTCGCGCTGCTGCCAACCAGGGCGGTTCTTCTGATGATAGCGATTCTCTTGCTTGAGCTTGGTCTTCATTTACCGCCTCTTCTTTGAGTATAGATGGTTCTTCGTCCCTCATGTATTCCTGTCGTTGGCGCCTCGCGGCTAGCAACCAGGGCGCTTCATCTGGCGACGGGGATGCTTCGACTTGAGGTTTCTGTTCACTCACCCAGTCTTCTTCAAACATGGATGGTTCTTCATCCATCATATATTCCCGTCGTTGCCGCCTTGCTTCTTGCAACCAGGGCGCTTCATCCGGCTCTGGCGATTCTTCAACCCTCACCCGCTCTGCACTCACCACCCCATCCCCACCCATCGCCGACTCATCATCCACCCTCCATTGCCTCAACACCTCATCCTGCCTCCTAAACATCTTCCCAATATCCCTCCCCACGCCACCCCTCTCCCTCGCCGCATCCGCCATATTCGTCGCCGCAACATTAACCAGACTAAGATTCCATCCCTTCTTCTCCGGATGCAGCTTGCGAAACAGCGGTAGCAACGTCTCGGACAGCAGTTTCTCGACCACGGCATCCATAGTATTATTGTTGTCTTTTAGGCTGAAGACAAACGTTGGCATGGGTCCGGATTTGGATATGCGTGCAAAGGACCGATTGCGGGTGCCATCTGGGTTTTGAGGCGCCCGTGGTCGGGTTGATAGTCGGAGTGTTTTCGGGTGAGCGAGCCAGCGCTTCATAGGCTTTGGAGGGGCGGAAGTGGGAGCCGTGGATAGGTCGTGTGCATCGTCATCTTCTTCTAGGAGATCGGTGTGCATTCGCTCGAGCAGTCTTTTCGCTAGCATGCGAAGCTCTTTGGTCACGGCTTCAAGTGTGTCTAGGCGCATGTAGCTGTCTTCTATACTGATCTGACGCGGTATTTCGCGTGCTTGGCCGACTTCTGTGTCGTCACAGCCGTTTAGTAGACCCCACACTTTGGTCCCGGTGCCATGTGGTACGCCCGGACCACCGAGTATCCGCTCCAACGTCTCCGGACCGATTCCAGGATGCGTCCTTACATCGCGGACAAGAACAGCCTCTTTAGTCCCACCATACATCAGTCCAGCATCAAATTCTGCCGGCCGCTGCAGTAGGTGGGTACGGAGCTTTTGTGCTATC